GCGTGTCGACACAGAGAAAAGGGTTGGGGGAGAAATGAGGGAATGCGTGGATGGACGGTTCTCTGCCCTGTATAGAGACAGGTGGCGGGCAGCAGGCCCCGCTGAACATCCCTCACGGCCTGGAGCCCGACGCACGTGGCATGTATATACAAAGGAAAGCCTAGAAGCCTCCGTCGAGAACATGCGCGACAGAGGAGCGAGGCTTTGGATTCATGGAGAGATCCCAGGCTTGCCGGCGACCTTTGGCAAGGCTCGGGAGTGAGGAGGGAAGAAAGGGTTGATTTGAAAGTGGGGGAGAGGAAGGAACAAAAATGCCGTAGGCGCGTTTGGGAGACAATCGTTAGGGTCTCACGGGAAATTATTTTCAAAGCATGAAATGTGTGAAGAAGTTTGCGAGGAGAAGAGCAGCCGTGTGCATGTAGGTCCGAACGTTTTGTAGTCGAGACCACTCGGCGGGAGCGCACGCTGTGTCGCCGTGGAAAATATTCAGCCCCTTTAACATCAAATCAAAAAGAAAAGTACGACACGAACAGAGAAGCTTCAGACGGGCACTCGTGGCATGGAAGAATCGGTGTGAACAGTGCTCGTTATTGCCATGGATCCCTGTTTGGTTCACGCTACCTTCGAATCCGGTGATGTCTCCTTGTTCCTAGGCGCCAGGCTGCCGTCATGCCAGCCACCACCGAGCCAGCGTGGAGGACGGAAGTCTCGTTGATCGGTAGGCAACTTCGCTCCACTCAAGAAGAGCACCACGCGCCGTCAACGGTATGAATTCGAGAGCATCAACAAGGAGACGCATACCATGATGCTTGCCCTAAACGTGGCTTTCTGTCACAGCGGAGGTATTTCCGTTCATCTTACTTTTTTACCTTCTTCCACTGTCCTGTGCAACTTATCTATCCGTGCTGGGTCAAAATGCTCATCATGCAGTGCCAGGCGCATCTTCATGGTCCTCATCGGCTTCTATCCCAGCACTACCCCGGGCATTACCGGCCCTCCGCTCATTTCATTTGGAGCATCTCTTCTCCTGGAAGGAAGCCTACCGACAAATTTACGTGCTCACTTCCGTCCAAAGCGTGGGCTATAACGTCTATTTATCCCACGTATTTCATCCATACAGTCGAGTGTTAAAAATGGCGCGAACTCCCTGGGGCCACAACCTCTCTCCATCAGGGTGCCTTGCCGTTTCACCCATCTATCTTTTCAGCCTCTAAGGCTATCTCAACGCGCCCTTCAATTGCTTTCTCCCTCCTCCTCGTCGCCCCACAGGCGCATGCTCTCATGCTCTTCTTCCCCTTCCCCCCCGCTTGACCCTGCTCCTCTTCCTTCCTCCTCCTCTTCCTCCTCCTTCCTCCGCACGACCAGCTCCTCGAGCTCCTCTCCCCCTCCCCCTCCTTCCTCCTCACATATCGACGTGAGCGAGGGTTTCTTGCTCGCCGGCCCATAGGCGCTTCCTCCTCTGCCCCATACCTCCTCCTCCTCCTCCTCCTCCTCCTCTTCCTCCTCCTCCCCGGCTTCCCCCCCGGGAAACGCCTCGTCATTCCCACTCACTGGCGAAGGCTCTTCCTCCCCATCGCCCTCTGCCTCCTGCTTCTCCTGATGTCTCCGCTTCCGCCTGCCCGTGCATCCCCCCACCTCACCTTCCTTCCCTGCGGCCAGGGAGGGGAAAGAGAAGGAGGAGGCTCCCGAGGTCACCTTTCCCCAACGCCGGTCCCAGGGTTTTATCGTCAATAAGGTGTTGCTTTTCTTTTTCTCTTCCTGCGCTTGTATCACATGGCACGCGGCGCTCTGTGTTGTCGTGCTCTTCATCGGTCTATCTCGTGGGGGCTCGCCCTGTTTGCTATTGAGAAGGCTTGGTTGTAGGGAGGCGAGAGGCGGACGATGCCGCTGCCACCGCTGCGGCGCATCTGTGATCTTGTCCAGGACTTGAGCCTCGCCCCCTGCGATGAAGGCGCAGTGCGGGAGAAAGAGGGAGAGAGGCGTGAGAGTCCGGGAAGGCAGGGGCGGGAGAATTTGCCAGACCGAAGGGGAAAGAAAGGAGGGTTACTATGGCATGCACGAGTCATCTGGTATTACGGTCTGCACAGAGTCTATGCATGGGCATAAGAATTCAATGTGCAGGGCTTATCTCTTGTCAATGCGTGGTTTCTGCCCCCTGCGCGAGCTCCTCACCTTTCCTGAAGTCAATAAAGAGGCTTCGACGGGGACTCCCAGCACCGGAAAGAAGCCCGGATGAGGCCGACGAGATGCTGCTATTGCTATTTTCGTTCTCCATCAGTAGATACACAGATTTGTGGTCCAAGTATGGTCCCTTAAATATGCGTGATACGAATTTGAGGGCTCGGGTGAGTTAATGAAGGGGCGGCAATGGCGCGCGAGGTCAAATTTATGCTACAAGCAACACACTCCAAGCAGGCCGATCACGTTTATTTACGGTACAATTAATGTTCAAACAAGGCACAATTCCAATGGCCTGAGCATGAATTCGGAAAGAAAGCATGTGCGACAAATATGCAAGGGTTTGAGAGGGGGCATGCAATAGAACAACCTTAGGAGGAAAAATGCATGGGGCCGATCCCAGGAGGACACACTCTCAAAATTACGTGAGACCCGTCTCACTTCAAGAAAATCACTTATGTATTGTCATGCAGACGTACAAAGCCTGTCATTGATACTATGGTGTGTAATTTTAGGCGGGGAGGGAAAGACGGAGTGCCATGTCCGTTAACGAGTTGGCGCGGGCGGGAAGGCATGCGAGGGGGGGAAGCACTTTTAAATACCCTCAAGCCAAACCCGGAGTCACGACGGTGGGCGAAAGAACAGTCAATGTGAGATGTCAGTCAATTTTCAGGTATTTCCTTTTCCGCACTCGCTTACCCGGCCGTATTTGGCTGGGCGCGGTAGTGTACATTAACTTTTTTTCCCTCCCGCCCCCAGGCCAGGTGTTGCCACAAGATACTTTTTCAGGCTCTTTGAAAGAACGATTTTCATGCCGGAATATACACATCATTATAATGCATCCTGCAGTAGCCAGCCAACAAACTAAAAATGCCTCCATTGCATTGCGTTTAATCTGGTGCGGGACTTGCCGCTCCTGTCGTTGTGGCCCATGCTCGTGCGAGTGATTCTCCCCCCCTCCCTCCTCGATCCTCTGAACGCTCTAATACCTTCCATCACTTCCATTTTCCTGCAAGCGGGGTAACTTCGCCGTCGTTTTCACCCGCCACTCCACCTCCTTCCCATCCCTCTCCAAGCTTTCTGCTGTCCGAGTGACCCATTCCAAGGCGTGTTGGTGCACGTTCATGATCCTGACCATGTTCGCCACAGGGCTCTCGTCGCTCAACCGTTTTTCCAGGGCCCCACCCACCTGATTGGAGAGCTCCCGAATTCGGGTCAAGACACGCCGAAGCCTGTCATCGACTCGCACTGCCAATTGGTGCATGGCCACGCGTTCTTCCATCCCGCCTTGGTCCCTGAACAATCTTCCCTCCCCCCCCTGCTGGATCGCGCGCTGCCGCCACCTGTCCCCTTTCTCTTCCATCATCGCCTCCAACTCCCGTAGCTCCGCCTCGATCGCTGCTTGCTTCCCTTCCACGCGCATCACCTCCCTCCAGACTGCCTCCCATGCCGATGAGACCTCTCTCACCATCTCTTCCCCCTCCCGCGCGCTTCTCCTTGCATCCTCCACCTCTGCTTCCATCCGCGCTATCTCCGCTTGCTCCTTCTCATGTCTGGCCAAATCTTCTTCCAGACAAAGCATGAGCTCCGCGTGGATCTGCGCCAGGGAGGTGCCCTGAAACTCAATCGCGAAGCGTCGGCCCGCCTCCTCCTCTTTGAAGGCCTGGTGCAAGGACGCGTGGAGGGCAGGCAGACGAGATTTGTCCGCTTCCGCCTCGCGATCCGCCGGCTTCTCGACCTGCGACGTCGCGGCAAGCGCCCCTCCAGGGGTCGTGGCCTCTGTACGGGGTACGAGGGCCGCGCTGGCGACGTTCCTGGTGGTGCTCGGGGCCCTGTCATTCCTGCCGCCTTCCCCGCCGAAAGAGAAGGACACTAGTGCTGGCGTCGACGACGTGGCGCCCTGTGCGGATGTGGAGGTGCCCGAGCTGGGGGCACTGCCGCTGCCTCCGCTCCCTCCAAACCCACCGAAGGCAAAAGGAGAAGGAGCAGGCGCTGATTTTGACGCCCCCCCAGTGGATGTGGCGGTGACCTTGGCTCCAGCAGTGCTGCCTCCTCCACTGCCTCCCAACCCTCCAAATGAGAAAGGAGAGGGCGCCGACGTGGTGGAAGCAGGGGCTGGTGCAGGAGCGGAAGAAGGAGGAAGGAAGGAAAAGGAGGATGCCGGTGTCGACGCAGGCACTCCACTGCCACCAAATTGAAAGGAAGAAGGCGCTGGATTCGATCCTCCTTGTGTTGATGATGGCGGCTGCATATTGCTGAGCAGGTACCTGCAGTATCGGTGTACAAGGCAGGAGAGGGGGGCGAGCTGAGGCGTGGAACGAGGAAGGCAACAGAGCACATGCAAATTATACTGTTCCAGTCCGATACTGACCACATGCGTTTGCACACGTTTATTTAATTATGCCCATCACTCTCTTTAACGGTGAGCTGAGTAAGTCAGGATCATAATCATAGATCCCTTTCCGGCTAGCGAACACGTGACTGAAAAGCGAGGCGAGGGCGTCTCTCTTGGCCCACATGGTAATAAATAATTCAAGTAGAATCATAATCAGGAGGGCTTGCGCAGTTTCAACATCCTTTCCTAATGTTTTTATCATCTTTTCCGTGTCCGAAAAGGGAGACGAATAGGGAAAGGACAAAAAAAATAGACTGGAGATGCATGACTCGTGTGAACACAGCCTGGCTAACACTACATTTCCATCTAGCCTCTCCCCGCGCCTTTTCACACGTAAAATCGGTTTTTTAACCATCAAACAAATGCTTTCCGAAAATACCACAACCTCTCATTCGTGACTGTGCCTGGCCTCTTCAGTGATTTTTGGGACGGTGTGGGCAAATTGCTTGCCGTCAGGTATGCGATACGCAAACGTACTTACCAAACGAGAAAATCATTTACGGAGAAAAAAAAGATTGTGCCTCGTTGCTGTGGCTGGCAAAAATTGTCAACATTCGATCTGAATTTGCCTCAAAGAATTTAGGGTGCAACGTTGATTTTGCCGGATTAAGAACTTATTTTCCTTCCACCTGCCACTATCGTCAAGTCCCTCGATTCCCATCAAAGCCCACGGCACACTTTGTAACAATCGACTCACGGTTCCCTCTGCTCCCCTTCGAGCCCACGGCACACATTGCAACTATCGACTCACGGTTCCCTCTGCTCCCCTCCGCTTTTCGTCCTCATTCCTTATCTTCTAGCACGCCCCTGGCCACCAAGGGTCGAATCACATACTTATTAAGTGCAGGGGCGAGGGCGAAGGCAACGCCAGCACGCAGGGGGAGCGCGACACGAGCAAAGGTGAGGAAGCCTGCAGAAAAAGCTGCTACCTGATTTGTCGTATGAAAGGGGAGGACGCGGATGGAGGGCGAGCACGGGGTCAGAGAAGGCCGCAATTCTCCGCGCGCTCGCACAGAAAACCCTGCAGCCACGATAGGACGAGGGATGCAAATGGAACGCAACCGTCACGGAAGCCATTTGGGATCATTGTCCTCTCCTGTAATGGATGTCTCACCTTTGCTTGCCCGTCACTCGTGCTCAAATCCAGCCACTCCCCCGTGCTTTGATGGAAGGCGACGATCCCTACTGGCAAGGAGATAAACCAGAACAACACCTCAGACGCAATGTAGGACGCAACACCTGCCAGCCCAAAATCTTGCAGTCGCTCGCGGAGGGACCGTGGGTCCGCGTCGTTCTCCTCTGGCTGGTAGCCAAGGCGAACGAGGAGGGAGGTGATGGCGTTGGAAGGAGTGGAATCCTCCCGCGGCGTCGCAAAAGTGCGGAAATCGAACAAAATGTGTCGTCTTCTTGAGATGCTGGTGCTGCAGCGTGTGCTTGAGGGGAGCGGGAGGCTATCGAGCGTGAGAGAGGATAGTGGCCGGGAGGACGTGGAGGAAGGGACACGAGAGGGCGAGGAGGTAGAGAAGCGTAGCGGGAGAAGGAAGGCTCGTGTGCATGAGATGAAGAAGAAAAATATCAGGAAGATGCTTGAAAGGCCCTTGTGGACTGTTCGGTCCATCACAAAGGGGATTTGACGCCTCTCAGTAAGGATGAGTCTCAGTCAGGAGGGCTGTTTGAGCGGTGCACCGCCAGTGGCAGAACGAAAGGACCCTCCCCGCCCGAGCCGGAACCTAAATGTGGATGTTGCAAGGATTAATTTGAAAAGAGAAGGTGTGTAATGAGCGCGAGGGCAGGACAGAGATGGTGACACATGAAAGTGGTAGATGTAGAACAACAAGGAGTATCAGGATCGTGCAGTCAAACCGCCTTCAAACGAAAGAAAGCCAAAAATCCCAAAGGCCATGGCTGACAGTCTGCATGTACATTCTCTCACTGAATGAAGCAGACGTATTTCCAGAAAGGCGATGCACTGTCATGCTTGAAATTTATCGTCACACCAAAAGGGCCATAGGCTCTCGAACAACCTCCTGCCCCTCATCTTAACGGTCCTGCGACTACACCAACACGGAGCAGAAAAAAGGGCTGAAACTACGTTAACTCTATCCATTGGCACAAAGACACCCAAACAAAACCTCCGACATGATTGTCTTGGACTCTAGAGGTGGAGCACCAGCCCTTTCGTGATTTTACAAGAGCGTCGTTCATCCGCATAGACACGGTCCTGCTGACCCGTGCGATACTGGCTTGTACCCACTCACATGCAAGCGACACCGCAGCCTCTACCGTGGGCTTTCAATCGCTGGCCATCATATTTAAGTGGTCTTACGGTCTCGCGCTCAGCTTGCCATCTCTTTTCTGCTCACGCTTTCCCCTTATCCATCCCAGTAGCCTAGACATGCGCTTCCCCTCAACAGCTACAAGCACCTCCTTCCTCCTCCTCGCTGCTATAGGCTGGCTGACCCTCACCTCTTCAGGACGTGCTACTCTCACATACATATGGGAAGGCGACAGAGACAAGGCGAGGAAAAGAGTAGCCCTCCGACAGCTCAAGTTTTTGAGGGCAGAGTTGACCTCGTTGGCAGATCGGATCGAACGGGCGCGGGAGCGCACGAACAAGGCACTGAGGAAGGAGGAGGAGGGCAGAGATGAAGAGGAGGAGGAGGGGGGGAGAAGAGAGGGAGAGAAGGAGGAGGGGGAGAGCGCAGCGTCCACCAGCGCGTATTATCACTTCAGTTCGTCGGGGAGGAAATTCAAGAACAAGTGGGATGAGTACGACGTTGAGAGGGAATTAGAAAGGCTGGAACAAGAGGAAAAGAGGGAAGGGAACGGGGAAGAGAAGCTGGGAGGCGGAGAGGGGAGAGAAGGAAGCGAAGAGGAGGAAGGAGGAGAGGCGAACGGCCAAATAGGGCACGAGGGGAGGAGCGTGGAAGGAAGGAGGGAAGGAATATACACATCATTATAAT